GTCTGTAACTAACAATTCCATATATTAAAACACCCCAGTTTCCTTGTTTGCTATTTGACAACACAGAGCCATCTTATACTCTTTCTTAAAATTGGCTGGTTTGGAAGTGCTACACCTAACCCTGAGCAGTTAAAGGAATTTCAAGCATATGATTCAGAGGTTGAAGTGAATGAGTTACTACTTGTGATTAGGTTTTTGTTCCTATCAGACATATTTAAGTAGTTAATCAATCCAGAAAAACTGACCTTGTCTTCACATAGTATTGTGCAAGTTAAACATACCACTCTAACAACTCGTAAAGCAGCTTTATATTAAAATACCAACCGAGATGTGTGTGTAATAGTGGTGATGGGAAATTAGAAGACATAGATTCATGATACAATCAGCAATGATGTCAGTGCTGAGCCTTAAAACGCTAAAAAAATTCTGGGTGACTGAACCTAATAATTAGCTGATTAACACAAGCACTTTAGCAGGAAATAGTGTGTATACCAGTTATAATTAATTTCTATCTTTATCACTTCACATATCAATGGTACCTCTGTACTCAGTAAAGCTACACTGACAGTCATCCTCATCTGAAACCACTATACTTCTCAATTTCTGTTTTTATGGTAATCAAATATCTACATGGAAGACTTGCAGGCCATATTCTTCCCTGTTGTAAATCAGCATAACTTCCTTTACACCAGTAGGTGTACTATTGACTTACACCAGCAACAAAAAGCTCTGGCCTATTCTTTCTCCCTATTCCTCTTTGTACGTGGTAATGAGCCATAAACTTCCTTCACCTCAAGTATTCCCACTTATATCATAGAAAGCCCTATAGTTCTGATTAAGTTTCCACAAAATGCCATATGTTTTGCTTATTCTGAGCACACACCTTTCTTGCTTAGGTCTGCAAATGTTCCCAGCTGAAAATGATGACTTCTTGCCACACACAGCTGAGTCCATACATTTCCACTCTTCACTGTAAAGAATCACTTGTTCATCTGAATATTTTGCTTAGCCTACATGACCTCATTATCACATCCAACTGATTAATTGTGCTATAGCAATATGCCAACACGCACAGTGCTGGAAGAAAGTTGCTTTTCCTTAGAACTCAGAGCTGAGAAAGCAATGCAGTCTGAAGGAACTCACTGTTCAAAAAGTGAGATAAATACAAAGAATGGAAGGAATTATGTAGGAACTAGGTGATAATTTATTTATAGATCTCTGCAGAAACACTGAAGTTAACAAATTTACCATCTGTTAAATAGTCATACTATTCCTAAGTGCATATTATCATTCCAAATGTGTGCCAAACACCTGATCTTAGCAATCTTATCTAATACTCTTTTTGACAAGCAACATCATGCTTTATTAGATTATGTCATATTATATTATAAAGTTATGCTAGGTAACTGAGGGAAAAGAGTGGCTGTGCTCTGTCAGTGTAAATGCCTGCTCAGGGCAAAGAAAAGTGGTTTTGAGAAGTAGCCAAACTTGCAGAAGAAGAACAAAGAAGTATGTCTAAATTTATATTAATCTTCACGGTTATTACACATTTAAGATTTTAATATTGCAATTAGTCACTGAAAATACACACCTCCCCATAGATGGGAAAATGGCTGCAAAAACATTTTGGGTAAAAGAAACATTATTTCTGATGGACTACCTCTTCTTTATTACCCTGGACTACATAACAAACATTTAACTCATTATTGTTGTCATCTGAATGAGTCGTCTTAATATTTCATAGGAGATGTTGCCAGCCTGAGAAAGGGTCCAGTAAAGATGACAACAGAATTAAGACTGACTCCTTTAATGAGTTATTTTGATTTATTTTGCTTTGTTTTGCCTTTGAGGTTTTTATAATTCCTTATTACGGAAAGACACTGAAAAAAAAATAGTTTTTTATAATTATCTATCAAAATCAACTTCCAATAGAAAAGAAAAAAAAAACCCAAACATTTCTGTGTAGTCCTACTAACTTTTTGGAGGTGGCAGTTTCTGAAAGATGCAGTGTGATAGATAAGAGACAAGCATTGGAATGAATTCTCAAGAGAAAACTTCTACCTAGAGATTTTTAAAACTGGGTTAAATAATTGTCTGCTTGGAAGGATATTGCATGCTGTTACCCATCATAGGCCACAAAAAAAGGATTTAATAACCATTTATGTGCCTCCCTGTCTGCTTTATACTTGCAATTCACTAGTAAGCATAATGGGATGAAAATCTTTCCAGCAACAGAAGAGGATTTAGCTTGTATAACTAAACTATAAACTTGCTAAGAAGCAGCTCAGACCTCTGCATACAGAATGATACTCAAAGGTGAAAGTGTAGATTAGAAATGCAAAGTCAAGTTTTCCCCCCACATATACTCTATAATCTTGCTAATTATAACAGTGAATCCCACAAGAGATCCAGTACTACTGCTTTTTTGTTAAGTCAGGGATACTTGTCATGGTTTTAATGGATAAACAGACAGGTGATAGTTTCCAAGATGAGAGTAAAAACAATACCATGATTTATCATTAGATAAAGGATTACTATTAGCCGTTTATTAGTTGCAATATCTTTTCCAAAATCTATTAAAATTTCAGAGTATTACACAGTTAATTTACAATTGTCATGAAAACCTTTTGCTTCCATTGCACTGTTAGGGTGGTGAGGCACTGGAATAGGTTGCCCAAAGAAGTGATCAATGCTCCATCCCTGGCAGTGTTAAAGGCCAGGTTGGATGGGGCCTTGGGCAACATGGTCTAGTGCGAGATGCTCCTGACAATGACAGGGAGGCTGGAACTAGATGATCTTAAGGTCTTTTCCAACCCAAAGCATTCTATGATTCCATAATTCTTTGTGCTTCCTTTTTTCTCTCCCATTGTTTAGATGTTTCATAGCAAGTGAAATTTTACTCTTAGGGAAAAAAAAAAAAAAAAAGAAAAAAAGAAAAGGAAAAAACCAGACCTGATTTACCATAGGCAGAAAGCATTGGAAACCACTAGCTAGACTAAGTGTATTTTCTATATTCCTCAAGAGTATGAGCTTTTAAAACCCTGTTTTTATGTAGAAACTGCACAGCCTGCTTTGTATTTGCAGCTATATGAAGCAACAGCAAAGGCAAATGTAACCGTTTCTGTTGCTAGTGCCTGAATCAAAAAAGTTATCATTTTTTGCACCTTTCCAGTCTTCTATTTAACATAAACATTAAGATTTGAGGGTCTTTATTTTTCCAAAGCTAGCCTCTTCTCCCACAGGGCAAAGCCTCATGCCAGCCAACCCAAGCAAATCCCCATCTAATGTCTTAATTATCCCTCTATCACTTTCCCACACGAATATTTTCTGCTGATTTTTTCCTTCTTAGAAAACACTTAACCCACAGAGAACAAAAGATAGATAATAAATTTTCTCAGATTGAATTTTCAGTACAGGTAAATAATCCATTCATTAAAAGATTGGACCAGTAAGTGTCTTCTAAATATGAACCCAAGCTGCAGTTTGTCATATTGCACCCATCCACTCTTTTCTTTTGCAATTAGTATTACAGGATGAAATAAACCAGGGTTTTTTTTTCTGGATTTTGTCTTTTTTTTTAAATCTGTTCCCACAGCTCTCTCCTCCACCTCCCCACCGCCTGCAGACTGCAAGGCAGAGATCTAGCCAGCAGGCAATTAAAAGAACATCAGAGTTTAAAACACTTTCCCAGTGTATTGACAGGAACTATCTATTGTGGCTATGACAGAGCAAAGAAGTGCTACAGCTGGCTAATTCAATTCAGTCACCTCTGGGTAGACAATGTCTTCATAGGAGAGCAATATACAGGCGATGAAGAGGAGGAAAAGAAAAATTAACTGTGTAAAGTTCAACTAAGGGGTAGAAAATTGATATATTGACATAAATAGCTGAGCCTGTACAGGTAGCAATCATTATTGCTTTGACCAAAGAGAACTGTTTTCTCTCTATTGAACTCTGGATCAGGTAGTTGTTCAGCTGATGAAAAATGGAGCAATTGTTTGAGACAAGAAGCTGCAGCAAGGTAAATAAAATAAGCTTAAAAGCATGCACTATGCTACATCGGTATAAAGAGATAGCATAGGAAGATGATATCTATTACATTAAAATATATTTTCAAAGTATTTCAATCAATCACTTTGCAAAATACTCTGACAAATGTAGAAAGTCTTCTTATTATGAAAAGGACCAAAAAGTTAAAAAGTTTAAAAGTACATCTGTTGTGTCATGCTTTGTAACTGAATTATTTAAAGGTAATGAGACCTCCAATACTTACACATTTCAGTAAAAGCAAGTAAAAGAGAGAATATGGTGTTAGAGTCAGTAAAAAAAAAAAAAAAAAGCTATGAAAAATCACACTGGGAGATAGGCATGGGCATGTTTATAAAGGAGATTTCCCTAAACCATCACATACTTTTCTTCTGAAAATATTCTCTTTCTCACCTTTAAAGTCAGTGATAAAGTTTAACTCAACTAAAACATATCCACATACTGCAGCCAGCTTTAGGACAGAACAGACTCAAGAACACAGCATACTTTTATGATTTAAGCACACACTCTGTGAGAGACCTGACAAAGTGAAATTATCACTTGTATATATAGACAAGCACATCTGCTTTTATTTCTGTAAAAAAAAAAAAGAGAAACAATGAAAAATGTTTTTTTTTCTCATGTAGATTAAGAATTTAATAAGCTCCCAAAAAATGATGCTAGAAAGTCATGGAATAATACACCAGCTTTGTGATAAGGGTATGTAAATACAAGCTTACAGGGTTAGAGTAGAACTGCTTTATGAACAAGTATCTCATGATCGCCTAAAGATGAGATACTGAGTTGGACAAGATATTTTTTTCCATGTTGTATGTCATTTCACATACTGGGATTATATGATGCTATTAAATATGTGAATATGTCCTATCATTACAGATCTTCATAGCCTGGGTGCAGTTAGGAACAGATCTGATAGATAATAACTGGGTCTTGCTTTCTCCTTCTCTCTCAAGATCTTGAAAATTCTGAAACAAAACCAAGAAACACAGTATCAGCCAGAGAAGGACAAGGAGTGGTTCTGCCCTGTGGTCCTCTACCACATTACGGAGGTATGGGGAATAACTACATATTGTGCACCCGCAGCATCAACCTGCTTGTTACTTTCATGCTATAATTTGAACTCTGAATTTTACAGATTAGATTTCTGATGAAAATTTGTCTTCTATTCTTGAATACCCAATTCTGTCCTGCCCAATAATTGTAAAAGTAATAGAAAGATGTAGATAGGAAGGGAATTCTGAAGTAGTAAGCTCACTGGCTAAAGGGGATTTGATTAGATCAGGTTGCCTGATAATTTTTAATCCTTCAGGTAAAGAACTAAAGGGCTTTCCTAGGGAATTGATTTGGAGGCACTTTGCATGTGTTGTCATTGCTCACTACTACTTCTTAACCATAAGGATGTTTTGTAAGTCTTCCTTTGTGCAGAGGAAAAGTCCAGGTGACATGCAATGAACCAGTAAGGTATTTAGGATTACATTTCATACTTTTCACCTAAGAAAACCCTACATATATGGGGCAATTTTCCTTCCTCCTCTCCCTCTTTTTATATGTGTATTACCACTTCCAACATCAACACTTAAAGAACAATACAAAGTCTTGAACATACAGGTACACTACTGTTGTGATTTCTGTTTTCTTAATACTGTTTGTACCTACCAGAAGTGAAGCTCTTGAGTGACCTTTTGAGATTTATTTCCCCAGCATTAACTCTTGTAAGTTTCGAGTGATACACACTCACCAACCTTCTCCAGGGGTGTTGGAATCAAGATTAATATTGCTCCAGAACTTTATAAGCCTGGAGAAAGAACTATGGCTTCCTAACATAACTAGCTAAAGATAACTGGACTTTTACTGCAGAAAAACAAATGCATATCAATAAAGGGAAAATATCAGTACCATAGTAACCAAATTGTCTTGCCCTGGACTGAAAGAATCAGAAGTTCTTCGATGACTTATGCCCTGCTTTTGGCAGGAGTGACCACACATCCACAGGAGCTGCCATTTATGTGCTAGCACCAACATCTTGCTCTAAGCAATGTTTCCTCAATTCTTAAAGGAAGAGAGGTATAAGACAAATTCCCATGAGAACGTGAATAGTGATCTATAAAGAGGATGCAGTATATCAGAGATGTAGAAAAACCCATCAATCAATTTAAAGCCCGCAAGTCTTGAACAGGGAGGAAATGTCAGTTCACTTAGTGTTTATAGCCATATGAAAGAAGTATATAATCAAGGAGATGAAGTGAAACCTGGTCCTTAAGGGCAGAAAAGGCTTGATGTATCAATGGGACAGACAGACAACACATCCATCCTGGAGTCAGTAAGCTATATATTTTCCTCTTGCTGTAGGGTAAAATTATGATTTGACAAATAGAAATGAGTAGAAGAAAACATTCAGAACAAATAAATAGTTAACAAGTCAGTTCTCCCCAGATTAATTGAACTGACAAAACAGTATCCATGAGCAAAGCCTTAGCCACAGTGTTTCTTAAGCTGCAGATGCAAGCTGTTGACCAACAGGCTTGAAAAATATATTATGTGAAACAGCAAGACTCTAGAAAACAGAAACAGAGTTCTTTTTGTCATCCAGAAACACTGTATTTATGATTAAAAATTATATGCTATGGAGAGAATTACATGGTGTGAATTTGATATGTTGTGTAACATTTCAGGATGCTTAGGCAGTTTTTATTAAAAGGACTGTATAGACAGTGTTTTAATTGAAACCTTTGCCTCCAACATACAATACCTACAGAAGAAAGGATTACTAACCATGCGTACAGCTTCCATTACAAGCATGCTGCACAGTACTTTATTTATGACAGGAATTAGTTAGACCAGCAGGAAAAGAGTCACCTTTCCTTATAATGTAAACAGGAGATAACACATCTGTATAACATGTCCTATACACCAGGAAGCAAATTGTTCTTAGAATTTCCTAGCCAACTTAGGAAATAGAGCCTATAACCAATGCAAACTTTTTGTTAGTATGAGCATTTACAAGGAAATCGAGGCTACCTGTTCAGGTGGAAAACACCAACTATGATCTTAAAAAGAAATTATCCATGTCATTGAAAAGGCACCCAAGGGAGCCAGAGCAGATGGATACAGTCTTTCAGGCACTCCTTATAGATCAGGTGCTGCTTTCCTCAGGATGAATCACTTAACAGACCTGGCCCTACCCACACATTCCAGAGGGGGAAAAGGAACATGGTTCTGCTGGTTACTAGCTTTACTTTCCTTTGACTTAAAGGCAGAAAATCTCTGTACAGCAGTTGTTAGTATAGTATTCTGGAATATGATGCACCAAATAAAACCTCCTGCCTTTCTGATATCCTAGAAAGTCTGTGTCTCTTTTTTCAAGCAAGAGAAAAGACAGAAAAGCAAGAACCTAAGAAAGCTAAAAGTCTTTATTAACTGAAGTTTATTCCCTTATAACATCAAGAAGCAGAACTACATAGCATGAGAGCTTAAGAGATAGTTCTGACATCTTTAACGTCTAAAGAATTGTTTCACATCTTTCCTTCTATCACTACAGGGATGAAAACATTGCTATTCTTATCTAGCCCTTTAGCAAGGGGTTTCAGGCAAACAGTAAAGTTAAACTTTTTGCTAGGTTTACATGAAAGAAAGCACTGAACATATCATTAGGCTGTTTATTATGTACTTTATGTACGTTTCCACATTCAGAAACATTTTAAACACTTAAAGCTTAACAAACTTAGTTTTCTGCTACAGGTGATAAGAGCAGTTCCGCTACTGCTTTTATGTATATACATCTTTTAACTGAGACTGCAATGGTAACTTTTTGCTTATACAAGAGAAACAAGTGTTTCTCATCAGCAATAGAGAATACATTAAACAACATTTTGATAAAAAAATATAACAAAAACATACAGAAAGATTGCTCCAATGGCTTTCACATCAGCCTTATACCTTAAACTAACTCAGAGAACAATAAAAATTAATATTTGGAAATGTTGCATTAAGGCTATACTAAAAAGCTTAACACCAAAAGAGAGCTAAATTTATATTGCTATGAACAAACATTAGCATATTTAGCAAAAAAACCCCACAAATCTACCTTTCAAAGACTTAGCTTATACTTTAGATCAAGCAAGCCATTAAAAAGCTGTTACAGCTAATGAACAAAAAACTACAGCCTGTAATGAGCTTTTGAAAGTAAGAACAAAGCTACCCCATGTTACTTACCCCAGCCTACACCCCTCCTTCCTTCCTCTAGCCCCTACTTGCCTATTTATGCACCAGCCACCCTCCAGTTGTTGTTATTTATGAGGCTCATTAATACACCTGATAAAGTTCAGCATGTGAGTTTCCTCTGCTTGTTAGCGAGGCTCTGGAGTGTAGGGCTGGGAAGGTAAGCTGCATTTCTTTCTCTGAGAAGTACCTCTTCTCTAGCTGAAGTTCTTTAGGTCAGCTGATTATTTTTTTCCACATGTAATTAACATATAGCATTATGGTGTTATCTAAAAGTTGCTTTTTGTATAGAGTTAATACTTGTAGACAGATGACAGGAAGCTTGAAGAAGCCATTCCTCTAGCTGTGTACGAGTTTGACCTGACTATGATTAAGGAGTTGCTGCTTAAACGATAATACTTGACACAAGTTTGTAAGATGGATTGTTATTCATTTATTTTCTTAGAAGTGAAGTCTAATATAAGTCCTGTTTCCTTCAAGCTGGCTCCCTACAGAGCTTTAAGGAAGTTGCTAATCTTGTTAGGAGCAGCAGGGTCCCTTATGCATTTGCATTTATTTGTCTGTAAGAGCTGCTAGGATTTCAAGCTGGGATGCTGGGTCTGTAGGCTTTTCTCTGTGCTGACATTACTACAAGGCTACATTAAAAAAGTAAAAGACTTTCAAGGAAGAGCTCTATGGATCTGCTCAGTGTGTGAATATGCTAAATCCTCAGTCAGCAGAAGGGTGGGGAAGGAGGTGCAGGTGAAATTAGGGTGTAGGAAACTGGGTGTGTAGAAAGGATAGGATGAGACAAGTGATGCTGCTTTATGTAGAAGGCTCTTTGACTTTTGCGTCAAGATGCTTCTGCATTTCATACAACAGCCTACTTGACAAAATGTGTAACATTAAGGTGAAGGTTTGAAGTGTATCACTGTTTATAGAGCTGAACACCTTAGTCATGGGTTTAGGGTCCTTTTCTCTCTGCTCTTATTTCTCAATGCTCCTATGAATCTTTAATCTTTTCCTGACAGCTCTGTCAGGAGAGGAAGAGTTTCCTCCTTGAGACCAGCCTGTAGCTGTTCTCTGGCAGAATGAGCAGAATTGATTTGAATTTGCTTGGGCTGAGGAAACTGCTGAAATGTTCTATTCCCTAGACTAGTATAAAGGGAGTGATCATCAGCTGCTCGTTTTCTAGCTGTGCTCTGACAGAAAGTGTTCATAGCTGGTGGTTCATAGCATAGGTGATGCTGTCCTGCCTGGCCAAGCTTAGGACTTGCCTACCAGGTAGTGCCTGTCTGGAAGGTGAGTTGACCTGCTTCTGGGGGCCTTTAGAATGAAAAAGGAGACTAACACCATACAATCACCTACCTTGGATTAAAAAAATCCCAAACAAACCCATACACATCCTGAGTTCGTACCACTGAAAAACACACACACAACACCCTGTGATCAGTGTACACCTCTGGAAGGGCTTCCTTCCTCAGTAGCTTCTCCCCTTTATTCCCCATTATGTAGTTTCACCTCACACATTTATTGTTCGAAAACATTTCACGTTAACTATAGTGAAAAGAGCAACAGGAAAATTGGGCTAATCTGTCTGGTGTAGAAAAACCTCTATTCCCTCTCTTCAGGAATGTTGAATCATCTTCAAGATCATATGAAAAGTGGATGCTTTGGAGGGAAAGTTACAGCCAAACAGGCCTATGCATAAAGGAAGAAATGAAATGGAGAAAAAAAGTCCACAAAAATCTTTGGTGCTGATAAAGGTTAAGACTTTTGTAAGACCTTTTATGCTGAAACTCTCTCATAGCAGTCTCTGAAATCCAATAATACTGATGCTGTGATGGATATGTTGAAGTGTGCTCTTAATCATTGTCGAGAAGTCCTGTGGTTAAATGGGAAACAAAAAAAACCAAAACCCCTTAAGGTTTTAACTTTATTTGTTCTTCCATAAAATAGCTGGCAGCACAATATTCAAGTTCATTTAAGCTAGACTTTATTAGGAGTTTAGTACCTCTTTACAATTTCCCTTCTATGCCTCCACTACCTTCTGTTCAGCATCACCTTCACCAGGCTCTTCCCAGCTTCTGATGTACTTATTCAAATGAATGTAACCCTGAAAGTGATGGTGTGGGCCTTTTGTTCATTCAGTGGGCCTGCTATATGCCTGATTTATTCAAAGTGACTAAAATGGAAGTGTTTAAGTAGTAGTAGCTTCTTTTATAATGCAACATTAAATTTTCTAGTCTATTATATCTTTTGATGTTGTCACTTAATTTTCTAAAGAAAGATATTCTGTAAGGGATCATTCTGCTGGTATTATGCCTTAGAAGAGAAAAAAGTTTGATCTCCGAAGTCTGGTTCCTTTCTCTTGAGATTTCATCCAACTCCTGTTGAAGACAATTAAAATCAGGGTTTCTACAATTTAGTGTAGCTGAATTAGGCTCTAGGCAGGTATGGCCTGCGGATTGGTGGTGATGAACCTGCACTTAGAAGAGTGGTGATGTTTATATCCCTTATTCTTGGGGGAAAAGGATTTAAACTGCACTTGTTCCCAGTTAATGGGAAAATTCATCAATAGGCCCTAAGGCAATGGTGGAGTACAGGACAGGGAGAATAACAAACTTCAGAAAATGAAGTCAGCTGGAACCCCCTGAGAACTGAAATCAGGACAGACAAGGACTGTTTCTGTTTTACTTATTAATTAATTCACAGACTGACCTCATGAAGAATGTCTGTGTAGCATAAAGTTGGTTTTAATAGAGTTTTACTAGGAATCATACATTCTAGCTGCATTATCAGGTCATACAGTAAGAATGAGTTTTCTAGTTGCATACCATAATGTAGTTTAAAGGTCCTTCACAGACACCTATTTGGTGTCTTAGCAGACATGGTGGTACCTTGTTAGAGTGAGTCAGTGCTTTCTTCAGCCCTGTAATTCCCAGCACCAGAACTAGATGTTGGAAAGGGAATATCCAAGCTTCTTTTTCCTATTAACTTATCTTTTAGTTTACCTCCAGTTTCTCATTAGATACACTATCCTGTCACAGAAGGCTGGGAATCCAAATATCATATTCCAGCTGCTCAGTGCATTTCTGTTGCACATAAGCCCTTATGTGCCTCTGTGTATGTCTGTGTGAGGAGGAGAGAAAGGGTTCCACCTGTCATGAAAGGGGCATCAAGGTGTAAGCCCTCAGGTGTTCTGAAATCTGAAGAGGTTTCAGATTTAACGTTTTTCTTCTTCAAAAATCACAAGTTTACAACCTGCTGTTTAATTGAACATAGATTATTTACCCTGCTGATCCTCAACTTTTTCCTTACAGTCCGTACAGTCAGACTGCAGCCGTTAAACTTTGTGCATGAGACATGAGCACAGCGACACTACACATAGTCTCCATAAGATATATCAGGTCATAGCTACATCCCATCATTCTAGCTATAGGCTGATCCTCCCTGTGGGAAAACCCATCCTGCTTCAGATATTCTTCTGTAAATAGATGCTTAAAAGAAGTATCTACAAGTACATGCAAATGTGAAAACAGGGTGCTTTTATCTCGTGTGTATACATATGTATATGCACACACTAGTTATATTACATTATTTTAGGGCTTATATCTTCTAGGTTTACTGTACACTGGGAAAAAAAGTTTAGCATTAATCTGTAGTAAACCAGAGCCTATTTGCAGGATTTAGCCAAGTATAGAAAGCGTCATTGATTGCTCCCTGGAGATTCATAATTTGTAATGAGAGTCCTAAAATGTTAGAAGATGATAACATAAAAGTCCACAAAACTACTAGAGTTTGCAGACTTATTGCAGTACAGTACCCATGTTGTAACTGGAGGGAGGGGGGCAGGGAAAACATAAATAATCTTTCAAATGGGATTGTTGATAGGGAAAATATGTAAAAATGAAGCTGTTGGCAGAACACTGTTAGCTTATGAATTATACATTTAATTAAGGACAGCTAAACTGGTAGGTTTTGAAAATTCTAATTTACTGAGTTTTATTAAAGACAGAATTCCAGTCCTGCTCCCCACAGTGGGGTGTTGGCACTGATGCAGAGCAGCTGCAGTGTGGGGCTGGCAGAACACCTCAGGTGTACCCACGCTGTGGCATGCTGTGTTACAAGCACTGAACCTACTTGCTGGGAGCATAACAAGGCTTGTCCAAAAAGCCCATCTGAAAAGAAGAGCCCTTGGATGGTAATCCCACAGGGCAATCTGCACTTCCAGGGTGGGCTAGTCAAATAGCTTTAAATTGCTTCCAAAATATATGCATGCAGCTGAGTTCTCCTGTCATGATAATCTCATGATAAAGCTCCATGTTACCAATTTCCTTTTTCCACATTTGGAGTGAAGAAAGGAGCTGTAACACTGATCAGCAATTTACTGTCTGGATGTTCATAGGGAAAGTGTTACAAGCAGAAATTATTTACTCAAACAGTGCTCTCATGGCACTGCAGCACTGCCATTCCTACTTAAAAGTAGGCTAAGCAGGAAAATGAAAAGTAACAGGGGGCAAAAACTTTTTTAACCTTCTGAAGTGGCTTGAAATGAGTTTAAAACTAGAGCAACGCTTACCTTGTCTTTACTAATTTGTGCATCCTCAGTGGTTTGCCCTATAGCTGACTTGTTTCAACTGACAATATTACACTGAAGCACTAATGGGAAGTAGATTATACTGGAAAGGATGCATGATATGCATCTGGTGTTTTCTAGGCTTATCCTATACATGTATCTTCAACAATAATACCTTATATGTTCAGGAAGATAGTCACCCCTTTGTTTCTGAAGAAAGTGGAAATCTGTACCTTGCCAAAGTAGAGCCATCAGATGTGGGCAACAACACTTGTGACTAACTCCAAAGCAGATCAAAGCGTGCAGGGGCCACCCACTCCTCTCACTCTCCGCAGCGATGGTAAGTCGTCTGGGCATCCTTGACTACCAATGTGCAGCACAATCCTAACCGGTTCACCTCCAGTTATTGATACTGCTATACATACTCATGGAGGTGAAAGCCTTCCGCTAAAAAGTTATGCAGGGACATGATTGTACAGCTTGTGCTGCTGGACTGAAAGGACATTTGAACTGTCAGGACTGGGACAATGAGTTAAATGTATGCAAAGAAAGCAGTGCTCAATATCATTGAAAAATAATATGAGAATGTCAAATGATACAGTGATATTTTTCATCCTATGAATGCCTGTGTTGAGGTTTAAATCTGCCCAAAGCTTTCTAAATTTATAATCTGAGTATAGCTCAACTATCAAATCTAGAAAGGTGTTTCAAAGTGAGTCATTGAAGTGAGAACTTCACCTGCATATACACAGATAACTTTCTGGCAATAGTTCTAATTAAATGCTCACAGTCAGAAATATATACCTAGGAAATCTTTACACAAAGTTTGGTTTGTAAGTTTGTTCATCTAAATTTCAATATACTTGTACTGTTTGCAAAACAGTGGTGACAATCAGTAACAGAAGTGTGTATAGAGTTAGATTTCTAAGGTAAATAAAACTCAACCATGCATTGTAGAATAATACTTCCAGTATTAGACTGCCACTTTATAACATAATTGGATCACCCAAAATAAAGTTATAGTTCCGCATTTCAGAAGTTAATAATTTAGTATAGCTGCAATTGTAAATGCTTAAGACCCTTTCTGAATATTTTCTTCCTTTCATTCACTCTACTTTATTCTTTTTCTCATACTATCAATCTTTTCATTTCTCCTGTTCTCTTTGGTGGCCTCTGGATTGTGTGGTAAATAGGCAGCCTCTAGGGGTGAATTTTATGTGCATTAGCCAGGTGCCTCTTAAATATAAAATAAGAATTGGCTCATTTTCTGGACAAAGACACTGTACAGGAACACAGTAGAATAGTTTGGTTTGGAAGGGACCTTAAGGATCATCCAGCTCCAAGCCCCTGCCATGGGCAGGGACATCTTCCACTAGACCAGGTTGCTCCAAGCCCCATCCAACCTGGCCTTGAACTCTGTGAGGGATGGGGCAGCCACAGCTTCTCTGAGCAACCTATGCCAGTGCCTCACCACCCTCATAGTGAAGAAAATATCTGATTCATATGAATCATTACTGTTGAAATGAGTTACATTTAACAAGTTCAGCTGAAAGTTTAGTTTGCTAAAACAATCCCAAACCAGTTGCAAAATTAAATGCCCTAAGCTAACACTATGGTTTATCAGATGTTAAACTACAGTTTCAAATGTAATTATTACATGTAATCAGCCTTTCTCAAGTCTGGAGCTCATATTTGGGTGTTTTAAAGAAGTCTTAAGTCTTTAGTGTTTTGGACACAGAATTCCATAATCCTGTTGTATCCAGAATATAACTACTGTCCTAAGAAGTGAGCAATGTTAAAGGCATTGCTTGTTCACACCTTGAGATATAAATCCTAATTTATATCTAAAACCTTAATGCACAACATACTTGTAATGTAAGCCACGCTCTCCAACATTCAAATGCACAGAACTCACAGATTCCGCACAAGCTTTCAACATAGAGTTGAACTTCACCCAAAAGGCTAAGTCTGTTCCATAGACATAATGTGTTGATTGCCATGGGTGGAACATAAGGCTCTAACATTATTAATACCATCATTTCTTTTACACTGAAATTCTGTTGCACTAGACAGGTCTGAGGCTCAACTGGAGTGCTAGCTGTTTTGACGTTCAAGAGGTGTGATGGAGGAGTACAAACCAAAGATTGAAGTGTGTTTTCCAGAAACAACATATGCAGCGAAGGGCTCATCTGTTAAACTGGAATGCTTTGCCCTTGGAAAGTAAGATTTCTGTCTTATAAAAATGTGGGTTCTAATGCTGTTCTACTGTGAAAAGCAGTGGTTCTTTCTAATTTACACAGTAGAACTCATTTGGTCAGAATGTGAATTTGTGAAACTTACTTTTTTTTTCTTGTAACCTTATCTTGGTTTGATTGTTTCTGCCCTATACATTCACAGGGATATGAAACACAACTACACTATAACAAGCTCACTTGGCTACAGCATAAAGCTGCGTGGAGGAAAGATAGGGAGGGAAAACTGGAACAGATATTATATTCCTTAAGAGTAGTTTTTACTCTGAGATGAGGTCTTACTTCTGGTTACAGCATTTAGTGTAACTGCACATTCACATCTTATCCTTATCAAAACAAATGCTTTCTCGTGCGGCATTGTTAAGAATGAAACTTGGAGAAACAGGCTGTGTTTCAAAAGCATGTAGACTGTGTAGAAAGGATCTAACACATGGCTCCCAGCACCTACACAGTAACAGAACCCTGTGAAGCCCCAGCAGCAGCCCTTCTTGCTAAGTCTACAGATCTATTAGGCTTGTAGTAGCCTATGTTTTTCCTAGGTTATTTTTGTTGTATTCATTTACAGAAGTAGTAGCGCATTCAAACAGTAAGGGGTGCTCTGTATTCAAACAGCAGATGGTTAACTGAATAAATGCAACCAGCCTACAAAAACTAGTCTTTCCAATGAGCAACTGTTTTCCCTAAAAAAGCTAAAATAACCTCACATTGTTGACCTCTATTTAGTTTAAGTTTACTTCAACAATCCGTTTTAAGGCTATAAGCTTTTAAAGTGTTTAGAGCTTTCCCAGAGGTTAAAAGCCTGACTTGCAGACAGCACAAATTAATCAAATGTTCCTCTGGAACCTATGCTGGGAAGTAGAAAAATAAAGCAAATAAAAAGTTAATAAGACAGGAAATGGCCTTCTCTTTCAGATGAGTTTTTTATATAAACTAACCTCAGGGCTAATCTTTATTTAAGGCATATGCTTTTTTTTTTGGCCCCAAACAAGTACCAGACTGGAACATTCCTGCTAAAGCTGATTCTTCCTTTCCAAATACTGTCAAGCTACTTCTCTTTAAATACCTCCTTAATTGTGTGTGAGTCAGTGCAGGCTTTGCTTTTCAAGTTGTCATTTTACATTTCCATCTGTTGCATGGAAAGAATTTAACAATGATACACTGACTGCAGAAGAGCATTTCAAAATAGAGCAAATGATATCTACAAAACAGTGCCTCCTTACTGAAGGGGTAAAGATGGGTGATGTTAATGTTGAACACAGGTTTTGCCATTTTAAGAACATCTTGAGGGGAAAAAAAAGGTGGACTGAAAAGATAGATAATGAAATCCCTCAGTGAGCACAGACCCTTCTGTGCTGTGCTTAGAAAATGAAATGGCTGAGGGGTTTAATGCAGCTTGAATATACATTTTTCTTCATATATAGCACTACAGCTGAAACCTGTGCTGCCGTATATCCCTGGAGTTGTACTGCATAAATAGCAGTAATCCATGGGGTGAAAATCCATTTTTCACAGGTTTATTATATAATATTGTTAATGTGCATCTAGTTTAGCGCATGTGTTTGAGAGATGCTGTTGTGAGTAAAGGCTCTTTAGTGGCGTCACTGGAGAATTTCTCCTCTAGGTTGTTTTTTATTTACAGATGTCTCATACCCAAATGTACTTTTTCAGTCCCCTTTTTCACTCTGAACAGGCCTTGAACCACACTTTCACTAATGTGTCAATAAGTGAAAAAGCTCTGTTTCAGAGCTGGCATTTATATGCGAATAAAGCAAGAGAAACAAATTCCAAGTGAAATACTCTTTAACTTGTTAGATAAGGCCAGATTTCTAAAGGTATGTAGGTGATTAATGGTAACTTTAAAAGCTTTATGTTTCCTACCTCCAGCTGTTTACAATTGCAGCTAGGCACATATAAATGCAGCAGCGTAGCCATCTGCACCTTTAGATGCCTAAATTCCACTAAAACTCTAGCCCCTACTATTGTCTGTTTATGTTAAAATCAATTCAGCTCAACATTTGTTGAACTATACCTCTGATCTGTCACAAGCACTAAAGGTTATTATCTCTCTTGGATTTCAGAACTGCTTTCCCATTATCCATAATTTTCTATATTCATACTGTTAGTCCACTGGTTCAGACAATGCTGTTAGCTGCTGCTACCTCTGTGCTATGAATAACAGAAATCTTTCACATCTAAGACAGATTATAGGCAACCTGCTGTGGTTTTGGTCTCCAAAAGTCTTAAATGATAGTACTTTCGTGGTGTTTAGAGAAATAGCATCTCTTTTTCTATATGGAACAGCAAATCATACCTATTGGACTTTATTCAAAAAACACTCTCACTTTTAAAACAAGGGGCCAAACTTATGGCTGAGTTTTAAGATGCCTTTTTTAGCTGGGAGAATTCAAAACCATCTAAGTACTCCTACAGCTAGGCATGGGACACCCAGGGACAGGTATATTCCACAGAGGTCTATTGCAAGGCTCTCTTTTTTGCATTTTACATGAAAATATCTGAAAATTGTCATCTAGCCCAGTCATAAACTTTAGCTTGTTTTGAGGAAGATAAATATAAGGAGGCAAAAGATTCAGTATTTATTTCTGGGGGGAGGGTTTGGAAGGATGGATTCCCAATGGACAAAAGCACTTGGACCAACTCTTGACTCTGAATCCTGTTTCGTTGAACAGAGACCATGAATAGTAGAGAAGCCTTTGAAAAGTAAATTAGTCCTCACTTTGATGGGAAGTACGATTTGGCAAAGGGGAATGTACGCAGTATGTGACTGATGACTGGCAAGGGGAATCTAAAAAGGGAAAGAAAAAAACCACCTTATAATTAATTTTTTAAAAGAGGGAAAACTAAAATATGAAATAACTTGACTATTTCAAATACTGCAGCCTGTGGCAATTTAATAGGAGAGATGAGGCTTTGTGTTCTGCACTAATATTCATTATGTTGACAGTGTTTAATAATATGCCAGTATTAAAAGTCATGTTTTGGATCAAGCTATATTAATCGTGCTATACATCTAAATTATTGTTCACTATGTCTTTGAGGGATTGAGTACCACGGAAAGAATTATGTTCAGTTGAGTTACTGTACTACTTTCTGTGGCTTTCTTTCCAAATAACTTTACTGTTGCCCAAGTAAGAGCAGTTTCTTGAATGAAAATAGATTCATGTCTGGAACACATATTTATTAAATGTGCCTCTGTTTTACGTTTACATTTTTCTTCATTCCCTTCTTGAAGATACGAAAATAATCTGTCCAGAACCCCTGCAGATGGGCCACTGCCAGTCAAGGATGTAAAGAGCACATGTGAATAATATAAAATGGTATATTTCTCAACCCAGAGCATTATTTTTTTTTTTGTGGGAACACCCTATATACTCCTGTATATGTATTCAAGGAAGGGTTTTTCTAGGGGTTGTTAGTATAAGTAGGAAATCATACAGCTGCAATGGGGTTCCAAATAACCATCTTCAGTGAAGATGACTGATTGGTATTCTGCTTTATGGAAGAATACCAGGCTTCTCTTCTTCATTAGATAGCTATTCTAGGATGTTCTAAAGGAGTTTATGTAGGAGGTGAATGGGACGCAATGGCAGGTTTCAGGAAAGTTTCCTAAGTAATATATCAGGATGATTAGAAGCCAGAGTGGGTTAATGATGATGTCCCTTGAATCCTAATTCTTCCTTATGTCAGCAGCTGATGCAGACATGATAGCAGCTTTCAAGCCTCAACTTTGTCTCTTTTGTTTAAGGAGGCATCACCTTTATTATCAAAGCTGTAGATTTCATTTTATTGTGAAATGCCCTCAGACGCATAGGACAAAACATGAGGCACAGGTGCTATGCCTCATCTGGCTGCAGAGTCTTTGCTGCAAAAAGGTGGAACCTTCATCTTAGTGTGGGTTGTAATGCTGCAGACAAATTAATTTCATGTTTGATGTGACAAGACTTGTCACCAACCAAAAATTATTTTCCATTGCCTTTTCTTTCTGAGTTAGTAACTTACAAGTTTGTGATTCTAGTGCCTGTATGAAGAATATAAATTAAATTAGTACTCCTAGATGCTCTGAAGATTTAAAATAAACTGTAGATTTATGTACAGAGACTCATATTTATGCACTCTTCTTATATACTAAAGTACAAGCAAGGCTTTGCTATGAAGTGTAATAAATTTGAAAAGTGTGCTCATTGTGTCTTTATAGATTCCAAAACTTTTTTAGCCCCAAGCAGTTATCTATTTTAATCTGGTTATTGGTAGTGACTAAATGAGCACAGCCCCACCAGTTGCGGAGCTACCCCAAATCTCCACTGGAAGGTACTAGTCTGTGTAGCAGTGTTGGATACTGGCCTTCAATAGAATATGATTATATAACATCCTACAAAAATTCACAAGGCTATATTTATTAAACTTCGGTTTATATATATATATATATATATTTTACCTATGTGTGAAGGACAGCTTCACTTATTAGAGCATTGACATGGAAAATAGAGAATTTGTTACAAAAAGCAATTTAATTAAATTTTATATCTAAATTTGGGCCGGTTACCTTGAAGGTTTCATACTGTGGTAATAGTTGCTGTTGGGAGATTTGGTTATAAAAAGGTAAACTAATATCAGAAGACAGTGAAACCAGCCAAAAAACCTGCCTTCTGCATAATACACTGACGGAAGATACTGGAAAGTCAGTGATAATGGAGTGTCAGCAAAGACAATGAAGAAATGCAGATCTTCTCAAACTGTGGTGACAACGAAGGTCCTTCCTATGGATGATGGTAGACGGCTGAGCTGTGGATCCTTCTGCAGTCTGCTTGTTTAACCTATAGCTCAGGGTGATGAGGAGCTGCTGTCTTGACAAATCAATTCCTTCTGCTGATAAAACCAGGCCACTTGGTACAAGACTCCCTGGCAGAAGAACAAAGTGTTGTTAACTATATATTGCAATTGCACATTTAAACATAGCAAAACTGATGAACCAAACTGATGTTTTTGTCATCCTGCTACAGCTAACAATAGAGGGAGTGCATTTCCAACACCCTTGTATGTGGCCAAGAATGAGATGAGTTTGTTTGAAACCTCCCCAAGGATGTCATTAGTATGTGGTGTGGATAAGGAAAACAGAACAGCATCTTGAGTTTAAACCCTGGTAAACTTGACTTGACAAGTTGACAGAAGGGGCCTTTTCCCACAGAGCCCTGCCTCTGGCCTTGGTGTCTGCACAGACTTTCCTTGTTCATGAATAGTTGGTACTAAGAGAAAACAAATGGCTGCTAGAACAGGAAATATTTAGATGAAAAAACTTCAGGTAGCACTGTGTGAATTAATGCATCTAATTGTTTTCCTTCTCCCATATGGCTTTAGTTTTCTTTAATGTCTTTGTTACAAAAAAAAAAGTCAATAAAAAAATGCCTTTAAAATAAGTAGTTAAACGTTTTTGGCATTCAATGCACTGCATGCTTCTGTTACACAGTAGCTATTCACCAACTGTTTAATATGCAGTAGCATTTTAAAAGCCAGCCATACTCTCCTTTCTGTCACCCACTGTCTGAATCAATCTACTGTAAGACTGCAAAATACCTCTGGCTGTTTTCCTGACTAAAGCAAGTAATTGTGGGACAGACCTATTCTGCACTAGAGCTGCATTTCTTTTAAACAACTAAAAGTAACTTGGTTTACAGAAATTCTGCACAAATAATGTCATGCAAGATTTGCGGAGGAGACAGTACCTTTTAACAGACTAAACAATGCATTTGAGCAAAACAGACAAATCCTTCTAAAGTTCTTTGTAAGGAATTATATTAAACCAGTTTGCATCTGAAATAGGTTTTTGGTTTCATAATGAAGAACAATTAATACAGGCGGTGATGAGAACTGTTGTCCAAAAAGACTTGAAGTTTAAACATCTGTATAGGCCTTGAACCAAAATGGGAAATAGAATAATAAAATCTCAGTAGTTCTTTACACATTTTCACTAGTTAATGATATCTGTCATGTCCCAGTCCCTTTCATTTGTAGTAAATTGTTCAGCTTTTGGAGGGGGCCTTGTGAGAGTCAGCATATGTGAGTGTATTTATAAGTTATTCATGTATATGTACGCACTTACCAGTCCAGAGCTAATACCAGAATCTGGAATAAATTGCTTATAGTTCCAAATTGTTTTCATGGGCAGCTCAGTTCTGGTGGAAAATATAAGGTAGCTAGAGAAATTACTACGCTGCTTAAATAGCTCATAGGGTTATTATGGGATTTTTTTTCTTGTATGTTAACGTCGTCAAGCTGTCAATTGTCCTGTACATAGTCTATTTCTGTTTTGTTTGTAGTTCCTCTGCTAACACCTGCCTAGCTGTTCAATCTGTGTAATTTGCTCAGTACTCATATATCTGTATCCTGGCGGTTCTGTCTCTAACTGAACTTGTTAACATCGTAGCCATATAGACTCAAAATGCAGAAATTAGGCTTAAATTTACCTGTGTTAATCAAATCACAGCTACAGACAAGTTACTTTCTTTGATCAATAAACATGGATTTGAACCAGAGACCTGAATAAGGTGCAGGCAGTTCTAGCCCCTGCCAAAAGGAATAAATGGTTTGTACACCAGCACTGCAGGACTGAGGCCTTGGGACTGGCAGGCAAGGGCAATGTACCCTTCTAATTTCCATGGAAGTTATGTTTTCAAGTTCAGCACTGACTGTTTGATGTTGATGTTATTTCCAATCAAAAAGTCAGCATTTAGCCAAAGCTTCTGTAAAAAGCTGTTCAAAATGTAATTGCTCTTCTGCTTAAAAAAAGAAACTTAAGTTTTGCAGATGCAGAAAGTAACTGTGAAATCCAAGACTATTAATATTTCAAAGTGTGTTGGTGACATAATAAATCATGAAAGTGAGGCTTGTATGGTTTGTGATATTACGAGAAATCCAAGAAGTATTTATAGCTGCCTTCACACTTGACTATATTTTTATTGTATTGAATACATTGATCCAAACATAAATGAAAATGACAGAAAGCTACGAGAACATGAAATAAGACATATTCTCTTTTGTTTCTGTCTCCTTTCAGCTTCAGTGTCTCATACTTTCTACTTCTTCACTCTGCTATCTGTCTGCCTACCTCTACCCTGGCCCCCATTTTTTATACCTAGATTTATTGGTATTTTTAGGTTTTGAGCTCTTGTCCAATATTTCCTATTTTGAAGTGTGAAATACCTGTAATGCTACAGGGAATTTGTTTGGTCTGAAAACCAGTCAATAATTCAGTGCTTCTATGGTGCTTATTTGGACTTCCAAAGTCACTCCTTCAGTGTCACAGTGTTTACAGGCAGGCTTGAGCCCTAGCTAAGAGTTACTGTGGGAAAAATCCAAATCGGCCTAAGAAGAATCATAGAATTGACTGAGGACTTCAAGCCACTGTTTGACTTCTGCTTCTAAATAAATTAGATAGGTTATAAAACCTGCATTATGTACCTCTGTATGTCAGAAATGTAAATTATTCATTTTTTTAAATATTATTACTCTTCTGAAAGGATTTAACATTATGTTCTCCCTGCTATAACAGATGCTCTTTCTTTCTTTCTCTAATAAAATAGAATTATTTAGTCCTGTCCCTAGTATTAGCTGGAAGAGGTCTGATGGAAACTCATTGACAAAAAAAAAAAAACTCAGCACAGCCAAACCAAAGGAGTTCTTGAAATCCCAAATGTTCAGCAAGAAGATGAAAGCTCTTATGAGTGCATCACAGGAAACATTTGAGGAGTAAACATTGCAAGAGGTCAATTATTTGTCTATGGTAAGTAGATTGATTATTCTTTTGGGGTTTTTTTTGAGTATGATGGTGTTCAGATGTATTTTGTAGATGAAGTCTATTAGCCCCTTACTGGAGATAAGAAATGTAGTTCAGGTTAAGCTGATTAAATAATGATTGTAGGTCTGCAGTGACCTTCACTGAATTACATCCTCAGCAAATAAAGATATTTTGCATTAAAACTCAGATTGAAAATGTGGGCTGTGACATGATGAAGTTGTAAAGGTTAATATGAGGCAGAAAGAAATCCCTAGTACATTTGCATGAAACATTAAGGTCAGGCAGAAAGATTTACTCTCAGTAGCTCACAGCAGCATAAAGCTGTGCTGTCCCAGATGCAGATCAGGGAAGGATTCATGAGGTTTTGGTTCATGTGGCTGTAAGATTATTTCACCTCTTATTCTAGCTGAACTGTATTGCTCCATAAACAGATGAGAGCAGAGCAGGGGAAACTCATTCCACTGCTCCCCTCCTCCTTGTCTGTAAGTGGAGAATAATATATCTGTGAAACTGTTCTCCTTTTCCTTTTCCCTTCCCTCGTGCATTAATTTCCTGTGATGCAAGTCACACATGATGGTTCCTCATAGCCACAGCGAATTATATGCTCTTTAGTCCCATTGTTAATACTTAGATAAAGAAACATATCTCAACATAAATAAGAAAGGCGATGATTTATGAGATAAATCTCTCAAAAAAGTGGGAATAAAAACCAACCCAACCCAAAAGCACGACAAAAGTAACAGTGAGCAAAAATTACAAAAAGCTAGACTGAGCCTACAACTGACTAACATCTGTTGAGAAGACCTTGGAAAGTAGTTTTGTTCTTTATAAGTAAATCTCTTCTAATGAAGAGATGCAGGCTTTGCTGATAAACCACCAGTCTCCTGCAGCCATGACTAATATCAAGATACATGCCAGGAATACAGCAGTCTGCTGCTCTTTTGAATATTTAATTGCTTCTTTGCTTTTGGGGGGTTATTTTTATTCTCGTTCACTAATTTTTGCAGAACATCAATCAAGCAGTTCCATTAAAATTAAGTTCTGTAGATTACCTGGACATGATTGATAACAGCATAGGCAATTACAAAATTATGATCAGTTAATGCAATCTAAAACAATGAGCTTATTAAATGTGTTTTGTAAATTAATTAATAGTTGTTCATAGTGAAATACATAAACAGCAGTCATGAAGCTTTTGCACAAGTTTGGTTTTTATCATATTAGGAGTGGGCTGGTATATTATCTGCATAATTGACTTCCTCTTGCTTAATTTCTGTGCTGCGGTGTTCTTGCTCAGTAGGCAGCTTGTATTGAGGAAATAGGGTTTATTTCCTGGACATTGTCTCTTGCTTTGTGTTTGATACCTACATCCCGTGCCTTAGGCTCTGAGAGCAGTAAAAATGATGTGCAATTAGAATCGTTTCTAAGCATGGTGAGATGTATCCTAGATACTTCCCCATTCTGCAAAACAGCTTGTTGGCATGGTATTACTCTGGTGCTGGACAATCTAGAAGTCCTTTGCTGGGACAGTCATGAGCTACCTGCAGGGCCATGCTGCAGAGGAAGGCTTATTCTGCTGGTCTCAAAGGATAATGATTATCTTCTTAAAACTCTATTTAAGAACTGCATATATGTATATATATGTATATACATATGGAGACTACAGCATTATGATTTAATAACCTAGCCAAACATTTTTCACAGGATGGTAGGACACCAGCCACTCAAGGTAGAGGGAGAGGGATGTGCCTCTATTATCTCACTTGCATGTGGCTTTGGTCTGTCCCGAAGTTAACTGAATGTCTGTTTTCTGTAGGTCTTATTCACCTACATCTTGACAACTGTTCTAAATGTCAGCCTGCTCATGCCAATTCCTGCTTAGTTGAATAATAGTACTTAGTTGGATATTTGCAGAGCTTATATGTGACTCCTGAAAGTTCTGCTGCTACACAGAAATGAATTTATGCCAATGTGCCACAAGTATTCAGAAGGTGTTATCCTAATCTGAGTAGTCCTAATTCTTTTGTGTATTATTTGTGTGGTAAATTACAACCAAATAACCCATGGTCTCAGATATGTGGGTAAAATAGAGGGGTAATATTTATAATCCATGTGTTTTATTAACTGACACATGATTTTGAAATTTCTATTTTTTGTGCATTCAAGTACCTTTAGAGGAAGACTGTTTCTCGAAAAGGAATAGTCACAGTCCTTTCAGAGAGCATGACCAGAATTTCAGACATCTAAAATCACTGCTTTGCAAATTTTGCCCATAAAAATTTATAATATCTAAACCAACTGCCTGCCTGCCAGCCACTTGGTCTCCAACATTTTTTCCCAAGTTAGTCCTGATGTTTAATACTAAGGAAACATTTTGCAGAATTTACTTGTGATATGAAAATAATGTATCAGACAAATACTAATTAGCCTTGCTCAGTTCATTAATTAATGGCAACATAGCTCCAGTCACATCACTTTTCTCCTGTTTAAAATGGTTTGTATATTCTTTTCAGCACTCCCTGAATGGGATAAAAAGATCCAAAATGCCTTTCTGTCTCTCTATGGCAGTTTATTTTGGGAATGTAAGGCTAAAGGAAAACCAAGCCCTTCCTACAGTTGGTTAAAAAATGGTCAGAGGGTAAGGTTCCTTTTTTTTTTTTTTTTTTGTTTTTTTGCTCATCTTTTGGGTTAGTTTGTTTGGGTTTTGTTTTTTTTTTTCATGACTTAGTAATGACATTCATTCTACATCATTACCTTTTCTCAGAAACTTAATTAAAGGTTAACATCAAAATGTATATATTACCACCAACTCTTAGCAACAAAGCCTCGATTCTTGGAGTTAATCTTTACTGAAAATGTATGGTATTGCCAGTTTATATAGAGATATGCCAATTTTCTCATATGGCTTCTTACAGAGCATCTAATTGGTACAGATATGCCAGTAGGTATGGATAGGTTTAAAAATATAATTTATAGTGAATGAAAGAAAGGTCTGTCATAGAATCACAGAATCATAGAATAGTTAGGGTTAGAAAGGACCATAAGTTCATCTAGTTCCAACCCCCCCTGCCATGGGCAGGGACACCTCACACTATCCAGAAATACTAAACACATTTGTAGACATAATCTGTAATTTGGGGAATTGATAAAATGACAAATGACTGTGGAAGTGTATTTCAGAGCTGGCATTACAAAATTGCCTGTTAACTTGTGTTTTAATTCTGTTTGTGTTCTTTGTAGGTTGGATAGCTCTTTGGTCTCATGCAGTATGGCAATTCTTATGCTATCTTAATCCTTTAACTGAATTAGCTATGAAAATCATTTAATATTGAGATTAATACTTTTCTGGCACTATACAGTGAAATAATAGACTAAAGAAAACTTTATAAGGAAAAGGTGAATAAGTGAAAGAACTTTCTTAAAGGAAAAAGAAGGATCAAGTAGAAAGGGAGGTAGTGAAGTGGAAGAAGTGCAGGAGGAGAGAGGCAATTGATGAAGCTCACTTGAACCTGATCAGATACTTACGTAGACAGGTCTTTGAAACCCTTTGTCTCTTTCCAGGCAGTATAATTATACTTCTGTGGTGGCTATGCTTTGGCACATTTGTCTTCTAATCTTCAGTTGGCAGCCTCATGGAGAATGACTTCTGTGGCAAGAGGCTCTTTGCTGCATTTGCATTCTGCTGAGGCCAAGTTTTCTGCCTTTATTAAACATCTATTCAGCATCTGTTGGGCATAAAATGGCATGGCTCATCTGCCATGTATTTTTACCTGGTTGGAAAAAATAATCCTGTGATTAATTTCTGTCTAGCAATAACAGATACAGAACAATTTCCCAAACATATGGGGTGAATTAGCACCTCCTGGGTTGCAGAACTGGGACTTGTTTGACTTAGTACTACTTCTTTGAAGCAATTGGAGTGGGGTACAATCTTCCTTATGATTTTCTGCTGGATTAGTCCTAAATGGAATTCAACTAGCACCTGAAAAGGCTAGCCAGAATTTACTTGGATTGCAATTTTCCTAAATCTGATCTTATTGTCAGCTCTTCCTAAGTAATATTATCTAGTTTTTCTCTTTGTCTGTCACTAGAATCTGTCACTTAGAGTGTACCTTTTCAATAAAAAAGAATAAAACACTCTACAGATATTTTCAACCAACATTTTCACAGTACTTACAGTATATTGTAAATGGAATACTTCAGGCAACAAAATGTGGAATGCTATTGCTCAATGGACAAAATGGATAGTTTAGAGGTGAAAGTACAAGGAAGGTGTAATAAAATATTCAGTCTTTCACAGCACCCTGTTCGCTGAAAGTATCATAGGAAGAATACTTTCCAGACGCTTTATACCTTGGGGACGGCTCTGAAGATGTTGTCTACTCTTTGTCAAACCTTTATTTCTGACCACCTAGTTGATCATCCCTGCATTATTGCTGCTTGTGTACACAGCGTGCTTTATTCTTCTTTTTGTCTGCATAGCTCAAAAGAGCCAGCAGAGAATGGTGGGGAATTCAGCAAGTGTACAAAACATGAGAGTTGCTTCAGAAGGGGGTTACATATTCAAAGGATGATTGTAAAAGTAGAATGTGTCGAGAGGATAGCAAACAGCCTGAAGGTAAAATTAAGTATGCAAAAAATATCTGTAGTGAGAGCCTCAAAAAATAGAAAATTTAACAGTGGATAAGTAATGTAATGTTGTTAATTAGTTTGCAATACACCAGCCATACAACTGCAGGCTGTGCTCTCATCAAATTTCCAAGCTAAACAAGGTTGGGCTGGATCAGTTCTCGGTTGAGAGACCTCCAAGGAAAAGCCAGTGTAGAGAAATAGAGATCCATGACTCAATAGGTGGCACTCTCCCCTCTGCAAGTGCAACAGGAGAAATCCCCCCCCAACAGGTTGTTCAATCGGCTTATCTGTGGCCACACAAAAAGTTAAGTTCTATAAGTTTAGCAGGTCACAAATAGGTTTTTAGATGTTCGCAACTGTTCAGCAAAGACTGTACTGTATACTCAATGTATGCTTCCATTAGTGGTTCAGAGGCAGTAAAGGCAGATTAAAGGAACAGCGTAATAACAGTATCAGTTGTTTCAGACTTGCATTTGGTGATGGTGTTTATAATTCTTGTTGTGGGTTTCTTCCAAACTCACTGGTTTTGGGGGTCAGATTCTCCTCTCCTCCTCAGTGGAGCTAATGCCGTCTCTAGAGTTTAGTAATTGTAAAATCACAATGTATTATCTCAAAGTTATGTCTATCGCATGAAACAGGCTTTTTTCTATTTGCCAAAATAGAGCAGATGAAACTCCTTTAAGTACACCCAAACCTAAGCTCTGGTCCAAATTTACCTACTGTGTAGTTTTCTCTATTTTGGCAGAATTGCACTGAAGAAATTTAGTGCGTATAAAATTCAAGCTATGAGGGGCATGCTCTCCCTTCTATCTGAACGGCTGCTTGTGGGTTTCCAATAGGAATATAAGAGTTGATTTTCAGTAGAGCTTTTTCAGTAGATCATTTTTCTGTGGCTTGTGATCTGATGACATGTGAAATGTTTCCATTATCTGTCTCTTGTGGAGCTTTTCTGATCATCTTAGATCATCATCATCTGATTTATCTAATTGGATGAGGGGTGTAGGCCATGTTTCACCATGGCCTCAGACAGGGCGGCTGATGCAGCTTCTTGGGAGCCATATGGAACCTGCTCCAGGCTCCCAGTGTGAAGCAGTCATACCTGCTCTATGGTAGCCACTTCAGTGTCTGCTTCACAGCGAAACATACAAAGAGATTCACAATTCAGCAAGCACAGAAATGCATGCCACAGCTGGAACATCTAGGTAAACCTGCCTAAGGCAATGACACTGCGACATGTGCCTCAGGTTCTTGGAAAGTTTGAAGCCAAGAGGTCTGAGCACATAACCATCATCATATAGTGAAGTATACATCACATTTTATATTTCTGACATATTCATCCATGTTGCTTCCAGATAAATTAAGATTTCTGCTTCTGAATTATGATCAGGAGCACCAGTGTGATACCAAAAAACTTTTGGATTATACATTCATTGTCTCTGTTGGTGCTTTTTGCTTATATTTCTTTATCAGGAAGGAATCCAAATAGAAAATGGAACTCTTATCATACCTGTGCTGAATATGTCAGACTCTGGCCTATATCAGTGTGTGGCAGAAAACAAGTACGGCACTATTTATGCCAGTGCTGAGTTGTGGGTGATAGGTGAGTAAATGTCACTAAAATGAGCAGGTGCTGAGTATAAAAGGATACTCATTGGAGAAAAATTGAAATTAAGGAATTAGTAGATTACATTCCACCTGGCAGTTCAAGTCTGTTGATATTTCTTTGCTGCTAGCTTTTCACCCACATACAAATGTTCTTTTAATTTTATTTCATGACTGGCCTGGGGGAAGAATCTAATCCATCTATGGTCTTTTTTTTTAACATATACACACAAGTTTAATGAATGCTGTTTCTCACTTAGTATTTTGAGTTATTAATAGTTATTCTGCAGTTTTTAAGTCATTTAAGAAAGTCAGAAAAATAGTTTTAACTATAAACAAAGGGCATATGGCAAATATGTATACAAAAATAAATAACATGTAACAAGTGATCTCATTAATGATTACTGATTATGCACATAAAATGGCATTTGTACATATATATATTCTGTTATAGATATTAAAAGTTTTTTCAATGGCTAAATACTAGTGAAACTAGTAAAAGACTTCAAGAGCACCTAACTGTTGTATAGTTCTGCGTTTTTCCTTCAAGAGTGCATTTTCACATAAATTACTGAAAAAAAATAAACAGATTTTCAGCAAACAGTGTCAGTTTTTTAACAGAAAGCCATTGAAAATCTGTGATTATAACTGAATACTTTCTGCCGATGAGTACATGTGACCGGGATCAGGAGTTTGATGTTTATCCTGCTGACATAGCTCTGCTCAGGGTTCTTTGTCATAGATAGAGGTATTCTCCCCGCCTGCAGATAACCCTAAGGAAAAATTGTCAGAGCAGACAGTTTCTAAGTAGACAGAAGCAGCATAAACATTAAATAAGGCACAATGAATTTCATTCTTTGGTACTTAAATACATATTTTCTTTTAAATACATGTACTTTCGCCAAAACCGGAAAGAAATTATTGGATTCACCTACTATGTAACTTGGAAGAATTTAGCAAGTAGTATATTTAGCTGCATACTGCTCTGCTCTTTCTTATTCTGTTTTCAGCTGCAGCACCTGATTTTTCCAAAAATCCTGTGAAAAAAAAAAGTCTGTCTTTCAAATTGGAGGTGAAGCTACAATTGGGTGTAAACCAAGTGCTTCTCCCAGAGCAGTTATGAACTGGAGAAAAGGCCCAGAGATTCTGCACCAGAACAAAAGGTACCATCATAAATCAGCTGCTGGATTGGTGGGAACTTTTTGTTTTAGTATTATCATTTAAACACCGCTGAAGCACAGTTAGCTTAGTATTGCTTTTGGCAGCTCATTGATGGAAAACTTTGATGCCAGAGGCCTCTTTGTCTTTAGTGGTGGTCATACAGTTCTGTGGATATAAACCTGGTTGAGAACAAAGCCAAACTGAATACACGCTGGTAATTGTATGATGCATATGTTTGTGTTCATCAGCAGTTAATTCACTGCAATGCTATCAGACCTGACTGCTTACCGCACACAAAGCCGGAGTGAATCAGCTTCATGTAGGAGACATCAGTGGAGGCTTCAGGGAAGCAGACTATACCCCCAGGCTACGGCATAATTGCTTCACAGCTGTACAGGTTGTATAATAAGCCATAACTACATCAGCCTCCATATTCTGTCTCTTCTGTTTAGGCAAGATTTAGCCACTGGGCCAGCATACTGGTATACTCCCCCAACAAATGGAATGGGGTTGCATGGTCTTTGCAGGGCTTTGTTGACATTTTGTCTGCGATGGCCAGTAGCTTATCTGTGAGTTAACACAAACCATCTACATTATTACATGCTAATGTCAATTAAACAGTAAAGCATTAAAATCAAAAGCAACTTAAGTTGTGAACAGTATGCACAATATATAACTGTGATGATATTTCCATATTCAAATATAGACAGAAAAATGGGCAACAGTGTCTAAGAAAGAGCTGTAATCTTTATTAGCAACCCTTTTAGTTTACAAATATAACAGCAACATTGCTTTAGCCTATTATCATTTTCAAAGACCAAACCCAGAATTAGTAATTCAAAAAGCCCTGGAAATTGAACACCAGATTTTGTGCATAGAACCTCATGGAGGTTAGTTTGGGTCACATAGGACATAATTATCATAAATTAAAACAACATTATCTAAAACTGTGACACAAAGAAGTATTTCCCATGTTACAGTAACGTACAATGCAGCTAAAAGTAAATCAGAGAAGTATTTGTGAAAGAAAGTACAAATCTGAGAAGTATTTCACATATGTGCTTGCAATGAAACAGCAATATTTTGGGTAAACAACCCATGCCACAGGGCATAGAGAACTTTCCAATTATTTCCCCACTTTCACCAATAGCAGTTTGATGATGAAAAATAATTTTCTACTTAGTGTTCAGTCAAATCTTTATTTGCATTTTGATTGCACTGTCTATTCAACAAAGAGCTGCTCATCCTATCAGACACAGCCTATCCCTACAGTATGTAGAAAATATGCTCAGTATACAGTTTCCTACAGGTAGTCCCTGGATTTTCTGACACTGAAAAAAGGATTGAGGAAAGCACTGTTTAAGACTTAAATTTCAATAGTTGAATTAAGCCTAGATCTTGAGATTCTAGTAGCCTGATATTCCCTCATCTGATTTGCTTATAAAAAATACTTACATACTGCATACAGTATTTACATGTGCGTCTGTATTAATTTACTAACAATAATTATAAGCACATTGTAATTTTTGAGCATCCCAGAAGGCCTTCTGGCATTTAGCAGGAGTAAACAAAAGGAGGAGGATTTACACTGAGGCAAAGGGAGAGACTGTTTAAACTCTGTGTGCAAAATATTACCAGTACATCCACTGATGCAAAGTAGAATTTGAGGGTTTTTTGATTGTTAAATAACAAAATAGTTAATGATGTCACAGTTTTAAAGGAGAGAAAATAAATCGTCTACATAGTATTTTCCCAGAGATCCTTGTGACAGAAAGCAGAGAATGAAATAAGGATTTGTATGTCTGTAATAAAGTACACAGCTAATTAAAATACTAAAATCACATGTATCTTTGCTCCTAATAAAGAGAAGGAACCTGGTCTGCCTTTATATATATGATTAAGCATGTCACATACAGATTAACTATTTTAATGAACTTATTTCTGCTCCTTTTTTATTGCCCAGCAACTATAATCTCTATGGACTCCTTTACGAGCTTTAAGAAAATATAAAATAAGAAATTGGTGCAGTTAGAAGTGCTGAAAAAAAGGAAATACAAATCCCTTACTGTTCTGTCAGCAAAACTGTGATGGACACATTGCTAAATAAATCAGATCACATAACTTCTTCAGAATATTATAGAAATTCAGCCTTTTGTTACAGAAATAGTGCAACTAGACCTTTTCTACCTTAAGGGATAAGAATATTCTTTCTTTTCCACATTCTTTCTTTCAGTCACGATAATAGTTTATTTGCAATAGTCATGTATACATGGTTACTGCTCTCCCTGATCATCTGAGTTTCACAATATGACAAGATAACACTGCTTTATAGTAATGTTAATTTGTAAGTATGCATAGAGAGGTGGGTTGACTAGGAAGGGCTAATTAATAAACTATATTAATTAAAGGACCATGAAATATTTTTTGTTTGCTCTGAGGATTTATTTAACAAACATTCTTAGGTTTACGAAGCTGCAGTATTTGGGCCCCTGAAAAATATGTTAACATTTCCTGAGTCTGAATCTTTTGCCGTGGGCCACAACTGGAGGTCCTTAGCCCTTGATCCCCTTTTCAGGGCACAGACAGTTTACACCAGTCCTGTTTCTCGTTTTCTCTGCGGTTTGAATACATCATTGCCCAGATCTGATTTATGTAAAATATTTTATTGCAATTGATGCACATACGTAAATCCTAAAAAATCCCAGATAAATCAGGTTTTATATTAGATGGTAAAACAAAGCCTAAACATACCTGTACCAGGTCTGCTTACTGCTCCCAGTCTTCATGTCCCCTCTTCTTTGAGTATTTGTCCTGGGTTCAGCAGTAGCAGTCATTTTTCTCTTTCTTAGTAGCTGGTGCAGTGCTGTGTTTTTGACTTTCAGCCTGGGAACAGCACTGATAACACCGATGTTTTCAGTTGCTGCCCAGTAATGTTTACTCTGACCAAGGACTTTCTGAGTCTCATGCTCTGCCAGGGAGGAGGGGAAGCCGGCAGGAAGCAGAGACAGGACACCTGACCCAAAGTAACCAAAGAGGTATTCTGTACCACAGCACATCATGCTCACTATATAAAGTGGGGGCAGTTACCCAGAAGGGTTAGATCACTGCTCAGTCAGGCTGGGTATTGGTCAGCAGGTAGTGAGTGGTTGTATTCTCTTCCCTTGTTATTTCCCTTATCATTATTATTATTGGTGGTAGCATCAGTGATTTGTGTTATACCTTAGTTACTGGACTGTTCTTATCTCAACCTGTGAGAGTTAGATTCTGTTGATTCTCCTCCCCATCCTTCCAGGGGTTGAGGGGGGGAGGAAGGGTGGTAGTGAGAGAGCAGCTACATGTCTGGGCTTAAACCACGACAATATTCTGCTTTAAAATTTTCAGAAATAGCTAAATTCCAGCTTCATTCATATGGCTTACCCCCTTAGTTATGGGATTTATCTTTGGTTCTTGCTACTTGCTGCCTTAGAGAGGGTATTCAAGGTTATCAGCTGTAGGAATCAAAAAGAAATTCCACAGTGGTTGGCTAATCCTAGCTACTTTTACCTGCTCTCTCTTCATGTGATCCCGTGGTCAGCTTCTTTGGATCATGCAGCAGTACAGCTGCAAGTTTTCTTTTCAACAATTAACCCCCTTCTTTGGATCAAAGTCTTGAGAAATTGGCTTTCAGGAGCAACAGCACTTGTCTGGTGGGCAGCTGTTTGAAAAGATTGTTTGCCCTTTGCCAAAGGTGTGACTTCCTCCTGGCATGTGCTGTGGATTTTAGCTCAATGTAGAAATGAAATGTGACAAAGAAGAACAAGCTTAATGTTCTGAACTCCAAGCCTGCAGATTTTGACATAGGTAAGAGCTATTTTCATATGTGGTCATATATTCTCAGCAAGTGCAACAGGGCTTTTCTTCATCTCACTTCTCCCTTCTATCACCCAACATGTCCACTGAGGAAGAGTAGAAGGGAACAGTTCATATATAAAATAAAACAAATTTGCAAGTCTAGACACTGATCTCATCATAAAAATATGTCTTGTTAGTGCCTTCAGTGGATTCAGGATCCGATCCCTCAAGGGGAACTTATAAAAATCCTTTTTGATTTAAGCATTTAATAAATGGGAATTGCAGCCCCTTTTGCTTTACCAGAGAGAGGTGCTATTCCCTCACCATGAGTTGAGGATCACCAAACACTGTAGTGAATGCATACAAACATATGTGATTCACTCCACTCAGAATTTAAATTAGGATAGCTGAGAAATGAGGTAGGCTGAAGGAATGCATTACTCATACTTTCCATGCATTAATAATCAGCAATAAGCAAATATTCATAATTTAAATTGTTTTCTGGGACTGGACAAGAAGTATGCTTAGGGGTCAATAATACATGTTCAATGGTTGTTGGCTCCTAGTCTTGCTTTCACGATTCAGTTCAGTACTATCTCTGTGAATGATGATAGCTGATCCTCTGCCATAAATAAAGCTGCTCTGTGTGGTAAAATCATCCCTCCCATTCTACACTTAATTTTGGTGGTTTGCACTCAATTTCTTGCCATTATTCAAAGGAAACATAGGAGAATAATTAAACACCAAAATTAAAACCTGTCTTTCAACAGCCTTATGCAAAGAAAACTGAGCAGGTGCTGGATCAGAAGACGTCTAAGTTTATGGGTGGGGGCAATTATCTGGTAATTGCTGAAGTCTTACAGCTGCCCATTGGAATGTCAAAATCAAGGGGATTTTCCTGCTCTCATGTGAAATGCAAGGACCCAACAGGTTTCATTACCTGCAAAGTGAGGTCTGCCCACAGCTGTGTGCTGCATCTGAATTGCTTTATCAGTTTCCTGGGCAGGACCCTTCTTCCTACAGCCTTCAGAGCACTCATGGTCACCATTTGTTTCTGCATATGTTATGCTGCTCCACTGCTTCTAAAACCATGGACATTTCAACGCATTTCAAACTGTTTTGTTATTTGAGAAAAGAATCCTCTCTTGTGATTGCTGTTGTAATTAGAGAG